CCTCCGCTGCCGCCGCCGGCGCCTCCTTCCTTCGCCCCTTGGGGCTTGCCCAAGGTCGCCCCGGCGGCGTGTGCGGGGCCCGCCAGGCAGTACCGGGCGCCGCCTTCGCTCCCCGCGCCAGGCCCGCCTCCAGCCAGCCCCGTCGCCGCGTCAGCCGATCGCTTTCGCGCCGGCGAACCTCCGCGCGCTCCGTCTTGCCCCCCCCCCCCCCCCCCGCGCGTCTTGCCGCGGATGTGCTTGCCATCTCTGCGGTGTCGGCCGGCGCTTCTTGCAGCGCGCGCGCGCCCGGCGGCCTTTTGTGAGCGAGGTTGTGCTCTGCTGTCGCTGCGCCGCCCCTGGCTGCGGTCGCATCGTCGTCGAGTTGCTCGCGTGGGCGGGGCTCCGGCCCGAGGGCGGTTGGCCGTCGAGGGGGCCGCCTTCTTGTCGCCGCGCGCCTTCTCTCGTGCCGAGCTCGTTGAGGTCGTCGTTTCCGTTGACTTCGCCCTGTTGGCTGGTGCCTCTTTCCCTGGGCCCCTCCGTCGGAGGGCGGCGCCCCTGCCGGGGGGGGCCTGCGCCGAGGAGGCGGCCCATTTCCCGCCCCGACCACTCCAGCAGTCATGGCGTGGGCGCCCGTGACCTCCGCGTCGGAGGCGGCGCTATCTACCGCGCTGGGCTTTTCAGTGCGAGCCCGCCGCCCTACCTGTGAACTTCTCTTGGCCTGGCGTGCGCGCCCTGGCCTCCAGGGTTGTCTTGCCACTGGGGTTCAGTGCGCTTCTTCGAGTTGCCGGGCCCTTCTTGCGAACTCGCCCGTTGCTCTTGCCCCCGTGGGGGCGAGTCCCTACCCTCGTGGGGGCGATGGGGGGATTAGGTGGGTTTGAGCGGGTTCCCTGTTTTTCATTTCCAGACCCCGCCTCTTGGGGCGGCCAGCTCCGTCCGTGGGCGAGAGCCCGTGCGCGATCCCAGTCATCCTCCCAGGACTTGCAGTGCTGCGATCGCAGCGCGTCTTTTGCTGGGGACGAAGCGGCCTCTTCGGTCCCTGCCCAGCAGAGCCCTCCCCGCTGCGACTCGTGTGCTACCGTTGCAGTCCCGCCCCGGTGCCCTGGCGGTTCCAGTGCCACTGCGCTGCTTTTCGTCCCCTGTCCGTCCATCCCGGGCCGCTCCCGGAGGGGTGGCCTCTCGACCGCCGCTGTTTCCAGCGCGCCACCCCGCGCTGCCGGGTATCGCGGCTCCTTGGGCCTGCGACCTTTTGCGGCTCCGCCGCCTTCAGCTCGCGATCCGCCGTCGCTCCTTGGTGCGTTCCTTTGTCGGTTCAGTCTCGGTTGCTTGCTCTCCCCGCCTTCCATTCCGGGTTGGCAAATGCCACCTTCCAATTTCACCGTAGTTTCGTCCGCTCGTTGCCGTTCCCCGCCGTCCAGGCCTGGATGGTTATGGCTGCCGCCGGCTGCGAGACCCTAAGTGGTGTGAGAGCTCGGCTGGGCGTGGACGCGCGTATTCGGCCGCCTGTTTTCGACTTTTTACGCCCCGTCGCCGCGCGCGCGGCCGCGACGTCAACATGTATATGTATTCATGTATGTATGTATGTATGTATGTCTGTATGTGTGTGTGTCATTGTGTCAGTATATGCCCCGTCGCCAACCGCCCAGCGCGATCACGGTGGAACCGCCTGGGCATCAGCAGTTGATGTTTCATATCGTTGTTTGAGACACATGTTCATATTGCGAGTGCGAGTTGTTTGTGCAATGTCAGGAGCGCGGGTTGAGCAGGTTTGGGAGTCTCCACAGCAGGGACATCTTGGTATTTCTGGTGTTTTAATTTGCCCAAGTTATATGACTATTCCTCATAGTTTGTATGTACGTGTGTATGTATGTATTTATCCATGCAAGTTATGTTTGTGCATGTATGTATGTATATACGTATATATATACATATATATTTGTATATATATACATATATATGTGTGTATATCAATCCATATGTATGTGTTTGCGTGTGTGCGTGGGTGTGAGTTATTTGCGCCCTCGAACTTCTCCCATCGCGCGCAGCTTGTGGCAACCGCCGGTGCGCGAATCACGCCGTGGTGGGGGGCTTCGGCGGACAGGCGCACGTTGGCTCGGATGCACGCTTTGAAGACCGTCGCGTGACGCAGTTTCTGGGATGCAGTGGAGACGGTGAGATAATGACTGCGTGGGGTTCGGGAGGAGTTCGGGTTTCCGGAGGGAAAGTGACGGCGTGGAGCCTTCACGTGGCCGATGCTCACCGGGGCCAGAAAGCCAGTGCTCTTCCTTGTTTGGCGGTCTTTACGGTAGCACGATGATTGTCCGGTGCATCGAAGCGGTATCCCTTCGGCGCTTGGAGCTGTCCGTGCTTGCGCGCGGACTCTCTCTCTCTCTCTGTCTCTTTCTCTCTTGTTTTTTGATTTTCCTGTCTGTCTGTCTGTCTGTCTCTCTCTCTCTCTCCATGTATCTGTGTGCGTGTGTGTATGTATGTATGTATATATATGTATATATATATACACAAAGATGTGTGTGTGTATATAGATATATAGATATGAGCATATCCGTTTCTTTGCGATTGCCGCCGCTTTCACCGTGTCCGCGGGGATGTTGCGCAAGTCGCCTCCGAGTAAACGTGTGGATGCTGAAAGTTGGGGGGAGGAAGGGAAAAAGGGAATTATGATGATGGTGATTATGGTCGTGGTGGTGCTGCTGAAGATGATGATGCGGAGGAGGAAGAGGAGGAGGAAGAGAAGGAGGAAGGACGATGAGGCAGGATGGCGGGGCCATGAAGGAGGGGATTGAGGGAACGATAATCAGGATGAGTATGAGGATGAGGATGAGGATGAGGATGATGCTGCTGCTGCTGATGATGGTGATGATGATGAAGTTGTTGTGGTTGTTGTGGTTGTTGTGGTTGTTCTGGTTGTTGTGGTTGTTGTTGTTGTTGTTGTTGTTGTTGTTGTTGTTGAATATTATTACTTCTAAAGAATAATTATTGTTGGGCCCCCTGGTGCACGCCCCCCTCGCCGCGCCTAGGCCGCAGCCACATTTTCATCATTTTCGTGAGGAAGTCTCAGGCAAAACGGGGGAGTCCGGATCCGGTTGTTTTGTTGACGCCCGCTTTCCCTGTCAAAAAACAATATAAAATGACATGTCTTGTTCTAACATAACCAAACTTCAAGAATCCTTTGCAAAAAATGACACGAAGTGCACACTCGCGCGCGCAAGACGAAATCCTTCCAAAACCTTAGTTTTCGTAGCGATTTTAACATAAAAACATCAAAAAACCAATGGTTTTTCAAAAAAAAATGTCAAAATTTCATCCCGCGCGCTCTTGCGGATTCGTAGGAAACCCAACACTTTTTAAACATTTCTGTCAAACGGGCTTTTGCGAGCAACTTTTTCGAACTTCTGCAACAACGGTTGCGCACCTGCCAGGGCCATCATCCCTGTCAAATAATACCATGCGGGACACATTCGTTTTTTCTTCGCGCGCGCACGCCGTCGTCGTCGGCCGCGGGGCCCTGAATAGTAGCCACGGTCGTCCGCATGCCACGAAGTGAAGTGTCCGAACGTCATAGGGCGGGAAGCTGGGTGTGGGTGGTGGCGAAGAGTCGTTTGGAAATTTGGTAGAGCTTGAACCGGCCCCCCCACAAAGTGGGGGTATTGCCCGCCTCCTATGAAAACCCTGGCACTGGTGAGAACGGTGTGTCCCCACGTGCTAGTAATTGTTGTTGTTGTTGTTGTTGTTGTTGTTGTTGTTGTTGTTGTTGTTGTTGTTATTGTCGTGTTGACGATGGCGGTGATGGTGGTGATGATTCTGATCATGGCGACGACGACGAATAATAATAGCAATCTGACGATCAGGATGATGATGATGCTGCTGCTGATGATGATGATGATGGTGGTGATGATGATGGTGGTGATGATGATTAGGAGGAGGTGAAGTGAATATGACCATATGGCAACCTCATGCGCAGCCCGTTGCTTTCGGAATCAGGAAGCCAAGTATAGCGAGGTTGACAGTGTTGAAGATGTTGAACGAGGGCAAGTCAGCAGAACAACCACAGCAACTATAGCGCACCATGACGACGACCAGGATGTAAAAAGACGGGAACATGGATCCCACGTGAACGTGAACGTGCCCTCGCAGAAGAAACCACGACTGAAACACACATTTTCGAAGGGCCGCGCGGATTTTCTGGATCGGCGCTGGACTCCCCTTCCTGGCGCGCGGATTACGCCAGGGGCGGCGCATGAGGCGCCGCCAGGGTCCGGCCGATCCAAGAATTCCGTCTGGACCTCTGACAGTTAATGAGTATGTGGCTTTTTCTTCCTTTGTGCCTGTGGCCGAGCGGGACATGCAGAGCGAGAGCGATCATAAAAGCATACACCAGGCATCATACCGACGCCAGCTCTGACTGAACACAGTTCCCAACGTCCACGAGCAACGGTATGAACTACAAATTCCCAAAAGCATCGAGACTGATGGGCGTTTCTGGGCATTGCAAAGAGCACGCGCAAATGCTTAGCATGGTGAGCACCAGCTTCTGCGACCTGTCGAGCCGTTCCCGAGCCGAGCATCACGACATGGAAACCACAGACAGACACAGACAGACCGACAGACACAGATTGACGGATACTCAGGCGGACAGACAGAGAAAGACAGACAGACAGACAGACAGACAGACAGAGAGACAGACAGAAAGAGACAGACAGACAGACAGACAGACAGACAGACAGAAAGGCAGACTTGATACACAGACACTCAGATAGACGCACAGACAGGTAAACAGACGGACGGCAGCCGCGTACGTGACCGGTGCGTTGGCAATGCGGTGAATTGGCAAAACCACGGGCCAACGCTCTGGTTGGCACACCATTGGGAAACAGCGTGTTTGCCGTGGCCGTTAACGGCTGCGGTAGAACCCTTCGTTGGATTCGGCCAAGAGCTAGTTAGGCGCGGTCGCGAACGAGGCGCCTTGCATGGCGCTCGCCCTCGCGACTTCCCCTGAAGTCTAGGGCATGTGCAGCGTCGCCGTCGTCGCGACGTCCATCCTCCCTCCTCGTCCGCCCTCTAGACTTTTTGATTCTGCTCCCCATCCGTTCTCCTCGCATACCTGTCCCCGTCCCTCCACACCTCCGTCCTCCTCCTTCCCCTCCCCCCAGGTGATGGCGACGGCGGCGACGACGACGGCGGCGACTGTGAAGGCGAAGGCGACGGCGACGGCGACGGGGAAAGCGGCGAAGGCGGCGAAGGCGACGAATGCGACGACGGCATCAGTGGGCGCTGCCTCAGCTCCCCGCGGCCCGAGGACCCTCCTGCTCCTCCTTTTCCTTCTCATCCCCCTCCTGCTCACTGGGGGCTTCACAGGCTTCACGTTGCTACCCAACTTGATGTTTTCTGTGGGAGCCCGCTTTGCACGCGGAATCCCGACAACCAGTTCGCAGACAAGCGAGGCCAAGAACGCGATGTGTCGATGACATACTCAGGCACGCGGAGCTGCTTGTGGGCACTGCTGGCGGGACAGATGAGTGGATCGGCGTGGCCAGAACACCAAAGTGGAATGACATGGAGACTAGATTTGTACATCATGAATGAGGTTGTTCGCCGTGATGCCTTCGCCTGTCGCTTCAGATTGTTTGCTTTCTCGGGGTGCTCCGTCCCCGCCCCGCTTGGTCCCCTCGCGTGGACACTGCTGCGGGCACCGTCACCGTCACGGTTGCGGAGGACGTGCTGCTCATGGCGAGGTCCTGTGCACATTTGAAGCCGGTGCTGGCTGACCTCATCACTTCCGCTACTGCAAGGGGCGTTCCTTGCACCCATCGAAGACGAAGGTGCTGAACACTCGCTCTGGGGCCCTCCTGAGCGAGGGGGCCGTGCCAGAGGCCCACGCGAGACAACCCGGGAGCGCCTAGTAACGCTCAAGAGCGTCCGGGACACCGCAGGATGCTGGGAAGCTTTTGGATCTGACTACGCGTGAAGGAAGACAGACGTGTGAGGGCCGCGGGTCGGCCCTGTTGGCCGGACACGGCGCGCATCGCCTCGCCCCCCTCTCCTGCTCCCCTCTTCCTTCCTCGCGTTCTCTTCGCCCTCCCCTCCCTCCTCGTCCCCTTCCTCCCCCCACTCCCTCCCCTTCCTCCTCCTCCCTCCTCCGTCTCTTTCCCCCTCCTCCCCCCCTTCTCCCCCTCCGCCTCCTCGTTCCCCTGCCACTCCCTTCCCTACCCTCCCTTGCCCCCCCCGCGGCTCGAGGCGGACGTTTCCTGTCCCATCTGTCCCCCCTCGTTCACGAATCGCCGCCGCGCCAGCGGCCAGGCGATCCAGAATCCGACGGACCCAGGAGGGGGAAAGGGACGATGATGATGATGATGATGATGATGGTGGTGGTGGTGGTGGTGGTGGTGATGATGATGATGATGACGACGATGATGACGATGATGATGATGATGATGATGATGACGACGATGATGATGATTATGATGATGCTGCTGATGCTGATGATGATGATTCTGATGATGACGATGATGACGATGGTGGTGGTGGTGATGATGATGATATAGATGATGATGATGATGGTGGTGGTGGTGATGATGGTGATGATGATGATGATGCTGGTGCTGATGGTGGTGGTGATGATGACGACGCTGTTGATGATGATGTCGATGATGATGATGCTGATGATGATGCCGATTATGACGATGATGACAATGATGCTGCTGATAATGATGATGATGGTGCTGATGATGATGCTGCTGATGATGATGATGATGATGATGATTATTATTGTGGTGGTGGTGGTGGTGGTGGTAATGGTGATGTTGCTGCTGCTGATGATGATGCTGCCGCTGCTGCTGATGATGCTGATGAGAAAGAATCTTGTGGTGGCGGTGGTGATGATGCTGCTGATGAAGATGCTGATGATGAAGATGTTGTTGTTGATGATGATTATGATGATGACGATGATGACGATGATGATGATGCTGATGATGATGACGATGATGATGATGATGATGATGATGATGCTGCTGCTGCTGCTTCTGCTGCTGCTGCTGCTGCTGATGCTGATGATGATGATGATGATGATGATGATGATGATGATGATGATTGATGATTGATGATTGGTGATTATGATGATGATGACGATGGTGGTGATGATGATGATGATGATGCTGATGATGATGATGATGATGATGATGATGATGATGATGATGATGATGGTGGTGGTGGTGGTGGTGGTGATGATGGTGATGATGCTGATGATGGTGATGATGGTGATCATGACGATGGCGATGGTGAAGGCGATGGCGATGACGATGACGACGATGATGCTGATGCTGATGATGACGATGATGATTTTGATGATGATGCTGATGCTGATGATCGCGGAGGTTGGGCGGAGGCCGCCACAGGGCCCACGCGATGGAACTCTGAGGAGAGTTGCGGACTCCACCCGTGGATCAGAGAGATGTGCGGTCGGCTGTAGCCCAGAACCTGCAGCAGACAGTTGGCGGGGTGTCCCTCGCTGGAGGCCGCCGGGAGGGTGGTGATCGCGGCGGAGGCTCGGCGCAGCAGTGTGGAGACCCTGCGCGGAGCTGGGGCCGACGCGAGTGACGACGACCTAGCAGAGCTGGTGGCCCGATTAAGATCGAGCATCAACGCAGGCAGCGCACCCAGGACGAGGGCGTGGGAGGGCGAGAGGCTGGTCGCTGCCCTGGAACCCGTGGCCACGAAACTGGCACTGGGCAACCCCGCGCTGGCCTCGACGGACATGCACCAAGCTTTGTGGTCCTTCGTCGAGGCGGGGGTCAAGGGCACGCAGGCGGAGGCCAGAGTACGGCGCGTGGCCACTGACGAGAGCGGCTGGCCGAAGCTGGCGGATAAGATCTGGGCCCGCGCCATCGGCGAGGAGGAGGATGAGGATCGCTTCGGCTGGATGCTTCACTGCAGGCTGGGGCTGCTGGCCGTTGGTGCGGTGACCGTGGCCCTGGCAGACGCTGGACGCTCCCGCGGGGGGGGGGCTTTCCTTCCTGATCGGGTGCGGCGTGCTGACTCGGACGCTGCCGCGACGGTGCATTACGTGGTGGTCCAGGTGGCGCCGACGACCGGCGTTCTCGAGTGCCTGCGACAGTGGAGGAGACGGACTGGAGACGTACTTCACCGAGGACGGCGAGGCCGCCGAGGACCAGGGGGCTGCGGCAGCTGCCCCGTCTCCTGCACCAGGGCCTGGCCTGCCGGGACAGGGGCCCGCTGTGCCAGCGCTGCTGGCCCCTCCGTGGAGCCCTGCCCTGGAGGCCGCAGCCCCCTGGTCAGCGGCCGAGAAGCCAGGAGCCAAGGACCTCGCAGCTCTGCGGGCTCTCGGCTCGGGACAAGCTGTGCAGGGCCCGTTCAGCCAGAGGGCCGCGGCGCAGATGCCTCCGCCCGACGCTGGCGGGGGGATGCCCCGTGGGGTCGGCGGCGGCGGTGCCGCAGCCTGCGGCCACCTCGCGCCGTTCGCTCCAGGGGGCGCGGTGGATCTGGGGATGCAGGCCAACGTGGTGAGGGCCACGCTGGCCGAGCCGCAGGCGAGGTCGGCCACCGACGCGTGCTGGGCGTGGCACTTCTGGGGGAGGACCTACGCGGCGGACGTCTCTCAGGGCCTGCGCCCGGACCTGCGTCGCCTGCTGCAGTGACATGGCTACGTGGGCGCGGGCACCAAGAGCCCGCCAGGCCCATCGCAGCCGCGGGAGCTGGAAAGTCAGTTGGCCAGCCCGACACCCGTCTGCGGCAATGGTCTGGCTGGAGGTCAGCCGTGGGCGTGGGCGCTGCCCGCCGCCGCCCGGCAGGAGGAGTCGACGTGGAACCTGAGCTTGCCGCCCGACTTGAAGCGCGCGGCGCTAGAGATCTGCCGAGCCGTGCGTGGACCGCGGGCGGCCGTTGCCCGCGACTGGCTCTCGCGTGAGGTGCGCGGGCAGAGGAGCGCCGCGGTGTGAACTGATCCGTGGACAGCGGCGACGAATGTGGACTACTTTCCGGGTGCCGGCCGCTCGCGGGCCGAGGTGCTCACCCGCCTGGCGTCAGACGGCGCCCTGGAGCTGCATCTGAGGGGGCTGGCCAGCTACGTTTACGAGATGCGGACCGTTGACATGGTGGGGGCGGCGGCCATGCTGGCCGCGCGGCCGTCGGGCTCATCGGCGGACCTGGCGCCGACGTGGCTCGTGGCGGAGGCCGCGGCGCGCTGCGTGGCCGGGCGCCGGCGGGGCGAGCGGGCGGCCGCATCAGGCAAGCGCGAAGGGCGTGGAGGCGGTCGAGGAGGGGGAGGCTTCGGCGGGGGCTGCGGCGGCAGTGTCGACCAGGCAGCTGGCGGCAGAGGCAGAGACAGCGACGGCGGGGGGCGGGGCCGAGGCCAGGGGGGGGCAATCCCCCAGGCCGCGGCAGGTCCCAGGCTTGACGGGAGCTGGCGCGCCGAGGGGCTCGCGGCCCACCCTCGGCCCGGCGTGGCTCCGCGCCGGGGCGGAGGCGGGCAGTGGCGCCGGCGACTGGGCGGCCTGGCTTGCGCGCGCGGGCCCTGCAGTGGATGGGGGCCAGTGCCGGGGCCTTCCTGCCCGTGCCCCTGCCAGGTCGGCCTCTTCGACGTCGCCTGTCGTCGGGCAGGATTCGCGCGAGGGTGGCGCGTCGCTTGCGAGTGTGGCGGCGGGCCCGCGGGCTCATCGAGCTCATGAACGGGATGGGCCTTCTTCGGCTCGACGCCGAAGCCGCAGGAGGCCCGCGCGTCCTCAGGCGCCTCGAAGGTCCACGTGTCCTTCGGGAGGTCGTCGCGCAGCAGGTACCTCGCGCAGGCGTCGGTCGACCCCCCCGCGAAATCGAAGCGCTCCTCCAGCTCCTCAAAGATCGTGGCTGACTTCCCGTTGTAGTCCAGCGCGTTCTCCCCCTCGCCGCAGAAGGCCTTCTCGCCCTCCGGCAGCGCCCCCAGCGGGTCAACCGCGCGGTCGTCCCGAGGCTGCACGATGGCCAGCGCGTCCAGAGCAACGTGCCTGGCGATTCCCTTTCACTCTCCTGCGCGATCGCCCTGCG